AATTATTTGTAATTTGTTAATTTATTTATTAAGTTCAAATTAGGAACCTATTCAGCTTCGTTTGGATATATTACTCATCAGTCAATCAATATCTCAGAAACGATAAGGACGATATTTTTTTCTGCACCCTTTCCCGCTTCGCTCTTTGCTCATGCTGTTTTCCTTCTCTCAATCCCCAGAGAGAATCTAGGTTTTTATTCCACAGCCAGAGAGATCCCTTATCTCTCTCTCTCTCTTCAGCACAGGCGAACATACGCAAGAGCAAGCGCTTATCGTATACTCTTTCTGTTCTCAATCCCTTCTGCAGACGCAAAGCATGGCATCGTTGAACGTCTTATTATCTCTCTGCGAACTTGGCTCCCAAGAAAGACCCAACCTTCCCAACAACTTCATCTCGTGCTGTTTTGGTCCTCCTGCGTTGGCCAAAGGTTATCTTCTTTATCTTTAACCTAGAACTAACGTTCTTATTTGTTTTTTTTTTTTTTTTGTTTTTTTGCATTGTGTCATTGTACGTTGTCGTGTTGCTTTGTTTAGCCTTGTATGCTTTGTTTGCTTCTCTCTGTAGAATCAAAATATTGGCTACAAATTATTATTATTTTTTAACCCTCTCTTTTGTATTTCTAGTGTCGCTCTGAAATGCCCTTAAAAAGGTGTTCATACCTTATTTATTTATTTATTTATTTTATATGGCATATTTGATTCATGTGAGCGTGAATCAGGCTCATGTAAGAATATCAGATTTGATTTGAGGGTAGCAAAAAAGGGCAAAACAAATGTCTCCTCTTAAGTGAATATAATTATGAGTAGCATAAGATCTAGGTTTGGTTATTTATTTTATTTTATTTTATTTTGTACGGTTGGAGATGAAGAGCTATTTCTTCAGGTAGTATCTATTTATATTTAAAAAGGAAAATAGTTTTAGCTCGGGCTAAACTCTCCCATTAATTAGAGATTATTAGGTGCGGAGTGCGGACAGGGAGAACCGTCTGCACAAGCATTGGTACCCAGCGGTACCCGCATTCGGTACCACTGGGTACCGCTGGGTACCGCTAGGTACCAGTGCTTGTGCGGACGGTGCGCACTCCGCACCTAATAATTTTCCATTAATTGAGCATGTTTGGAACAATGAGTATTTAAGAATGTTCCAACGAATTATGTGAAATTTTTATGAAGGCCTGTCCAAACTTTTGGCCAAGTTTGAAACGGGTTGAACCCCTTGCAAAGATTGAGCTTGAGCTATGTCGACATCATGCTATATATAACTAAAGTTGTGCTTGCACCTTGTGTGCTGTCACTTCAGTTGTGACAGACTGAAGATTTTTTTGGTGAAGTTGGATTGAGGTGAATATCCTTAACACAGAGACATCATTCCTGCAATATGCTAATAATTGCTTGATATATAATTGTTGTGTTCAAAGCTTTTAGAATGGCACATTATTCCTTTATTGGTGCCATGATGAAGTTGTGCAAACGTTAAAAATAAGTTAACAAGACCAAGATGCTCAATATAATTGTAACAGCCATCTCAAAGAAAACAAAAAACCCCGTCCTTTCATTGGATTTCATGAAATAATTTTTGATGATAGAACGAAAACGGGCTTTGTGGGAGGAAGAATTTGAAAAATTCTCAGATTTTCATCCCAAAACCTGTGAGACGTCTTAGAGTTTTGAGCTTAGGAAATAGAGATGGGGGAGGGAGAGCCAACCCAAGGTGAGGTCTTGGGGAAGGATCGGTCAACAGCAGATTGCAAATCCCAAGCCTCCTTTCATTGGTCTGGGAAGGATTTCAAAATTCGAAACCAAAATCTGAGAAGAATCTCAGAGTTTGATAGGCTAAGATGAAGAGAAAGTGGGAGGAGGCCAAGCCGTGATTAGAGTAGAAGGCTGAGTGAGATTTCCTGCACATGTTATGAAATTAGAGAGTTCTTCACATGCAGGTAGGCAAGGGGAGGGGAGGTGATGGGAGAAGCAGCTGACGGGATTGTGAGGTTTGGCGGGAGGAGTTAGGGAGAGGTTTGGAATTCCTTAATTAATTCCTTAGATGTGGAATTAATTGAGGAATTACGGGCAAGGATTAGCAAGAGCAAAAACTATGGCAGCAAACCATAGGAGCAATAAAGGTAGGGAGAGGAGTAATGAGAAGGAGAGAGGGGAGGTAAGAGAGAGGGGCTGCGGTTTGTAAAGGGGCTGGAGTTTTGATTTGTTTCCCAAAGAGAAATTCTCCGTTGGAAAGAAATTAAGTAGAAAGGGAATAGGTAATTTCGGCCAGGGAGAGATTGGGGGGTTTTGAAATTATTTCCTAAATAAGTGGGAGAGTTTTAGGAAATAAAAAAAGGAATTAATGGGTATAGGAAGGGCCGGCAGCTTGCATGAGGGTGGGAGGATTTTATGGGATTAATTAAGGCTTCCTAATTTAAGTTTTGAGATTAGAAAAGTTTTAAATTAAATCCAATTGAAATTTAAAATTCAAAAGAGATCTAATTCAATTACTTTCCTAAAATAGAGTAGCTAAATTAGGAAGGAGCTTGAATGCAATTTCAAAGAGATTTGAATTTCAAAATCATCCAAATCAACCTCGTCCGGTTAGGAAATTCAAGGGTGAAGGGGAATGGTTGAGGCCGGCGGGTTGGGCCTTGGCCGGCGGCAAGCCAAAGTGAGGACGGGTGGAGGTGGCCGAGGTTATGGGGAGGATTTTAGTGGAGCTTGTTGTGGGGGAAGAGTGGGGAAATTTGGTGAATGAATTGGATGTGACGAAGAAGAAAAAGGAGGGTGGTGAGTGAAGACGAAAATACAAAGAGAAAACCACGAACCCGGCCGTCTCCAAGGTTGGTGGTGATACGATTTCCCTCTCCAAGGGATCTCAAGTCACGAGCCGGACCCATCCTGCGGCTGGTGGAAACTCCGACCTCCTCCCATAGGGATTTCACTAACGTTCTTCCCAAAGAACCCAAGTGCAAAACGCAAATTTTTTTTATTAATAATCCATCATCCTATTACAATAGCTTAAGGCCCTATATATAGGCCATAACATGAGAAAAATAAAAATACAAAAATGCCGCTTGGTCCATAACACTCAAATAAACTAACCTATGGGTAAAACAGAAATAACATAAAAAATAACTAAAATTCATAAAATCAAATTTAAAGTAACAATTTAAATTAGAGCCGTCGATTTAGACGCCTTCTGTGATAGATGCGCCAGATCTTCGTGCCGATGTCCGCATTCATTCTCAATAGTGGGAGATACTCGACTCCGTCGAGTTAGCATCACAACTGCCCAGGTACAACTTTGGACGGTTCTTTGGAGACATAGTTTCATCCTCCGAAATGGGTAATAACCCAATGAGCACTTAAGCTCGCCAATTTCCTTAACCCGAGTCAAGGGATCCCTTTCAAACTATCGCACTTCTTTTTCGCCTGCAGAAACTTGTTCACTCTCCTCAATAGTTTCAACTGGCGATAGGATCAATCTGGAGTTCGATGGATATCACCTTCAGAGCTTCCTCAACCTTCTCTGTTATAGGAGTGTTCACTGGGTCAGGGAGAAACCTTAGCTTCTGTAGGAGTTGAAATTTGAGCCAACCAAGTCCCTCTCTGCAGGATTTGCTGTCACGCATTTTTCCTTGTCGACCAATTCATCTTCTTCTTCCTGATCACCTTATTTTTTCTTTGATTTGCACCGTGAGTGGGAAATAGAAAGCTTCATTGGCCTCCAGCCATTTGTCAACTCTATCCACTCTTTCTCTGTTTCTTAGTGCCTTTTTCCATCCTTTGATGAAGGGGATCTTGAAGAGGTGTAGAGCGATGGGTCCCTCCTACTCGCTCTAGGTCATCGAACCGTTTGATTGTCTGACGGTGTAGTCGGCTAAGTCTGCTTGAGTCTCCTTGAGATGTTGACTAATGGCAGCCACTGACCTACCATCAAGTCTAGAGTCCTTCCAAGTCGATCCGAGTCCATGCTCTAATACCAAACTGATGTAGAACGAAAACGGCTTTGGTAGGGAGAGGAAGAATTTGAAAATTCTTAGATTTTCATCCCAAAATCTGTGAGACGGTCTAAAGAGTTTTGAGCTTAGGAAATAGGATTGGGGGAGGGAGAGCCAACCCAAGGTGAGGTCTTGGGGAAGGATCGGTCACAGCAGATTGCAAATCCCAAGCCTCCTTTCATTGGTCTGGGAAGGATTTCAAAATTTGAAACCAAAATCTGAGAAGAATCTCAGAGTTTGATAGGCTAAGATGAAGAGAAAAGTGGGGAGGAGCCAGCCGCTGACAGAGTAGAAGGCTGAGTGAGATTTCCTGCACATGCTATGGATTTAAAAAGTTCTTCACATGCAGGTAGGCAAGGGGAGGGGAGGTGATGGGAAAGCAGCTGATGGATTGTGAGGTTGGCGGGAGGAGTTAGGGAGAGGTTTGGAATTCTTTAATTAATTCCTAGATGTGGAATTAATTGAGGAATCGGGCAAGGGATTAGCAAGAGCAAAAACTATGGCAGCAAACCATAGGAGCAGTAAAGGTAGGGAGAGGAGTAATGGGAAGGAGAGAGGGCGCGTAAGAGAGAGGGGTGCGGTTTGTAAAGGGGGCTGGAGTTTTGATTTGTTTCCCAAAGAGAAATTCTCCGTTGGAAAGAAATTAAAGTAGAAAGGGGAATAGGTAATTTCGGCCAGGGATTGGGGGGTTTTGAAATTATTTCCTAAATAAGGGGGAGAGTTTTTAGGAAATAAATAAAAGGAATTTAATGGGTAATAGAAGGGCCGACAGCTTGCATGAGGTGGGAGGATTTTATGTGGATTAATTAAGGCTTCCTAATTAAGTTTTGAGATTAGAAAAGCTTTAAAAGTTTTAAATTAAATCCAATTGAAATTTAAAATTCAAAAGAGATCTAATTCAATTACTTTCCTAAAATAGAGTAGCTAAATTAGGAAGGAACTTGAATGCAATTTCAAAGAGATTTGAATTTCAAAATCATCCCAAATCAATCCTCGGTCCGGTTAGGAAATTCAAGGGTGAAGGGGAATGGTTGACGGGTGGAGGTGGCCGAGGTTATGGGGAGGATTTTAGTGGAGCTTGTTGTGGGGGAAGAGTGGGGAAATTTGGTGAATGACTTGGATGTGACGAAGAAGAAAAAAGGAGGGTGGTGAGTGGAAGACGAAAATACAACGAGAAAACTACGAACTCGGCCATCTCCAAGGTTGGTGGGTGATACGATTTCCCTCTCCAAGGGATCTCAAGTCACGAGCCCGGACCCATCCTGCGGCTGGTGTAAACTTCGACTCCCTCCCATAGGGATTTCACTAATGTTCTTCCCAAAGAACCCAAGTGCAAAACGCAAATTTTTTTTATTAATAATCCATCATCCTATTACAATAGCTTAAGGCCCTATATATAGGCCATAACATGAGAAAATAAAAATACAAAAATGCCGCTTGGGCCATAACACTCAAATAAACTAACCTAGGGGTAAAACAGGAAATAACATAAAATAATAAGTAAAATTTATAAAATAAATTTTAAATAACAATTTAAATTAGAGCCGTCGATTTATGATGCCTCCTGTGATAGATGCGCCAGATCTTCGTGCCGATGTCCGCATCAATTTTTCCTGAAATAGAGTAAGCTTTGGCTGGATTGACTCACCATAACTAGTCCTAGCATTATGCAGGTTGAATATTTTATTGCATTTTCTTGACTTTTTGAGTTAATTCATAATCATGCTATGGTGTAGCCTACCATATATATGAGCAAGCAGTTGAAGTGAGTAATTGAAAAGGGGCTTCACTAAGCTAAATAGTAAGTATTATAAGATGAATTGGGGACTCTCTAATGAGGACTTTCTTTATCCAAGAGGAGTGCAAGGTTCAAAGTTTAAGTTCAATATGAGTGTTGGTTGCTTGTTTTATACTGGGCTTTAAATTTTGGCAACTGGCTAGTCTTTGGCTTTATCTTGATACTCTACTTCACCAAATAAACTCTCTCTTGAGTTTAAGGTCTCAATTGAATCATCATGGTATGGATATAAGTTTGTTATATTGAACATTGGACTAATACCTTCTCATCCAGTACTCTATTTGGTAGGTGCCAATGGGAAACTAATACACCAGAATCAAGTTGCCATCGTTATACTTTAGGTGCAGGCGATGTGCATCAATATCCTCTTTTACTTATCATATGATTCCTGAAGATCTCTTATTACTTTTTCTTGCATTTCTCAATATTGCTTACTAGTTTATCTGCTTTAACATGACCTCTTGTTAGGAGAGTTGGCACATGATTTATGATTTGCCTAGGGTTTGTGCTATCGAACACTCTAAATTCACTCCTTTGGCGCACCGACATCTAGAGGTTTCAGGGTAAATTCAATTTTAGCAATGTTTTTGCTATTTATGCAGCTGTCGAAGCATGTCATTTGGGGACGGATTGACAATTTTATTTTATCCTCAGCTTGGGGGTGATAGACATTTGATAATTGGATTTAAGTCATGGGGATCCTACGTATTGTTTAAAAAAAAATTGCTCATGAATCACATTTGTAGATCTGATGTTATAGTCTATAGCATACAATGAAGCTTCATGATCACCTTAAAGAGCAGCTTTCATGATCACCTTAAAGAGCAGCTTTGCATTATTGGAATCATCAACAATCTTTCTACAAGGAAAAAATGAGCCATCTTAGGAAAAAAAACCAACAACAAAAAGGATAGAATCACTGCCTCTTTGTGTGCACAACAGTTCAACCTTAAATCCATGCTTAGGTTGCCCGGTTGCCCCCCGTGTCCGATTTGGAATTGGCAATAGTTGATATAAATATCATTTTCCTCTCTATTATTATTCTTTTGACAATTCATACATAGTAAACCTCGTGGGAGTCCCCTTCTTAGTCTTCCAAGTCATCTCAGCTTATTATCCTCTATGTGTCTTCTTCAATCATCTCTTACTCTTATTTAGTAGGCAATTCACTCATGTGAATCAAGCTATAGGAGAGTGAACATTTTGATTGTGATTTCTTGAGTATATTATTTTACTATGGGGGCCACTTGCTCTTTCTCACTCTTTCTTTAAAAACACCTAGGTGCCGCGATAGACATTATGGTTCTCCTCTGAAAGCTGATCTTCATTTAGCTAATCATGTCAACCTAACTTCAAATTTTCTTTTATGGGGATTCAAAAGCATGATGCCCAATCTTTTGTCAATGAGAAAAAAACACTAATTTATCCTTTGTTGTTTGTGGGCGACACACTCTTTTAAAACCTTTTTAGCATGAAGCTTAGAGGGTTTAACATAATGTGTAGCCACATTATTATTTTTCAAATTCCAAAAATTGGAATACTAGTTTGGTTCTTTATTTTCATCAGCATTTTTCACCAACGGCTAACACGTGTTGCTTTGACACCGAAGTTTATGTAATTAATTGGAATGAAGGGTTGAAAATAAGTTTCACTAAACAAAATAGGAAGAGTTAAAATATAAGTCGGGGAATATCTTGTCCAAAAGGAACTCTATCACCCTCACCCAAAGAAGAAGGCTCATTTACTCGCCAAGATTAGTGTAAGGTTCAGAGGTTAAATTTAACAAAAGCTTATTCTCAAAAGCCTCACAATTCCCCTTTATAAATGTGCAATACCTGTTAGCTATTGTAGATGGAGTTCTAATCAATGCATTAGACATTGTAATAACCTTTTCCTTCTAATACGACCTTTGGTTTCATGCTTTTTTCTTAGCTTTGACTTTTTACTGCTTGCGGGCTTCTTTGGCTTTATCATTCTATAGTGCCACTTTGGTACTGAGCTGAAGGGTATTGTTTTTTCTTTGAACCAATCTAGTTTATGTTTTTTCAATTTGATATAAATCAAAACCCTTTTTCTATTTCAACATCTACATGCTCTTAATTCCATTTGAATATGAACAAAGATAATTGATGTATATGACTACAAGGCTTTGTTGTTTAAATTTATTTTAAGGTTGGAAATAAACTAATTTGGCTAGTTTGTGGTCTGTTAGAATTCAATTAGCTGTCAAAGTGACCTAATCCTTTCACACCTAGGTAAAAGGTATATTAGTACATTTTGATCCGTATTTATTATGAAAATCTTACGACATTCTAGTTCAATATTTTATTTGGTGGAATAGTAGATGTTATTGTTTAAGATGATTCTGTGATAGAAAATTGAGCCTTCAGTTCGTAAGCTTTGTTCATGTTGAGTGCATTTACAACAGTAACATTATTGAGTGATGAAAAATTTTGAAATTCTACCTTGTCTTGTACACGGAAATCACGAGTAGTAGAAGCACTACCAGTTTAGACTATTGCGAGCCCTGAGGATTTGTTTGTGCAGCATGGTCAAGGTTCATGTGCTTGCTATTCCGTAAAGGAGTGTAGGTCTATCTGGCTATCATTCATAACACCAACATTATCTCGACTATTATTCAAGAGAGCCATCTTTCATTATTAAATAAGATCAAGCTTAAGCGTGATCAGCGCCTCTTTTGATATACTTCTTACTACCACCTGCGTATGTAATATTCTCTGTTTTGATTGGAAATAAAAATAGTGAACAATACTTACCTCCCCCATGCCACCACGTACTGTGCTTGCTAATATTTTTATTCCTTTTATCTTCTTCATTTTAATTCCTCCCTATTGAGTTGATTGTCCCACATATAGGTGCACAAGGATCCAAATCACCACGTAAAAGATCTAGAACTGATGGAGCGGGGAAAAGCATGGAAGATTCAATTCAACGAAAATTGGAGCAGTTTTATGAAGGATCAAATGGACCACCTATACGTGTCCTTCCTATAGGTGGTCTGGGGGAAATTGGAATGAACTGCATGCTAGTTGGAAACTATGACCGTTATATCTTAATCGATGCAGGGGTGATGTTTCCTGAGTATGTACCAGAAATCATATTGCACTGTCATGAATAGATTTTTTATTTCGGTGGTTTATCTCTTGTTTGATTATTATTCAGTATGTCAGGATGGTACTCCAGTGATTTAAGGTTCTTTGCTTATTTTAAGTTGAAACATAATTGAGATAGAAAGTTAACAGTTTAATTTCTCATTATGATTATTGTTTCCAGAATGCCTATTTGTTGTGAAATGACAATATGATAACAAACCTTAAAATGTAGCATTTATGATACACAGCGTCTATGAGTTTAGTTTTTGTAATGTAGAGCTAAATATTATATGCAGAAAATCACTGTGTCGACACCCAAATTTTGTAGTTCACAAACTAGTAAACTTAAATTAACTTAATAGACCACCTTTGTTGAATGTAAAAAAAAAAGAGATAAAAATCAATTTAAATGGAAAATTTTCGCTTGTTATTTGAATGATTAGCATTAAGTGTTGAGAAAATCATGCAAGTGGTTTCCATCGAATTTAACTTTTTGGGATCAATCATATTGTTTCTTTCAAAGATTTTTTATAGTAATTCTTCCAACTTGAAATACTTTAGAACTGGTCAATACCTCTTCAGTTCAAGGGAAGATGAAAGTAATATAAATTGAATGAAAATAGTTGTATTATAAGGTTTTGGGCTGAGCTAAACTGATTAAAGGTGGAGTAAATAAATTTAAATTAAAACTTAAATATATTTTTAATAACTATGACATATGGCACTTATATTATGCGCCTAGTGCCCCTCCTTGGTTAAATGTAAACTACTTTAGCATGCATACACAAATATAAAGGATATCATATATCATATGCTAGTCAATTACCCAATGTTGCAAGTGATGATAATGATTTTAGAAATAAAGTGAAAATTATTAATTATACTATAAGGGATCTTACCATATTTAAAGTCATTGAAAATTGAGCAAATACATTTAAATTAAAATGAGTAAATTTAATATTAAATTTAAAGCCAATGGCTTGTACCATATGTAATTAAGCATGAAGCAAAATATCTTAATAATAGGTTGTTATGTATAGATTTGAATCCTTATAATAAGTTTGAATTCAAATTTAAAAATAATGACATATATTATGTGACTGTTATGTATTTAATTATATTGCTGTCCTTTTCAGAATCAAAAGTATTTCATGTGTTGTGTTCAACTATAAGCAACGAAGTGCATGATGTCATAGTTCATAATTAAATAAAATAGTTTTCGTTTATAAAATGATAATTATGTCATATGATAATTTTTAAATGTGTTTGAATTCTGACAAAATGTGAGAGAATTGGTTGTGTATTGCATTTCGTCATTTGTGTTGAATTTATTGAAGTCTAGGAGAATCTCTTGTAGGATATATAAAAAGTTTAGGGAATGAAAATTAATTACAATTAGAACAACTCATAGATTGGTGAGGTGTCAAGAATGAGTCCATGAATTGGTGAGGTGACAATAATGAAGAAAAGGAAGGAGAGTTTGCGGGTACACCTGGAATAGGAAAGAGAGCTGGTTGCCTGATAGTCCGGACAACTAGGAGGTGGGCTGTTAGGTGGACAACTGGATGGCATTTCCGTGGACATAAGTTGAGAGGCTGAATCACATGCTGTAGCAGGAGTGGCCACGAGCTAGGTGTAGGTGTTCTCACGCTCACTAACATGGGAATAAATGGATGTTATCCGGTTCAAAATTTTTTGATAACCTTTGAAAGATTACCTCTAATAATTATTTTGTGAGAATGTCTATAAGTTTTTCACCTTTAATAATGAATGGAGTTCAAATTAGACAATTATTGAGCTTTCTTTTTTATATAATATCTGTCAACTTCAGTATGTTTAGTTCAGTCATGTTGCACATAATTATATGCAGTATTAATGACTGATTTGTTATCATAGTGGACCCTCATAGGATCTTCTCATTCAACTTTTGAAACTTCCATGATATTTATAATTCTCAAAATTTCAGTGCCAAAGATTTAACTTCTACTTTTTATGACAGATCTTCCTCCCATATTTTGCTTTTTTTACTTCTCCAAGTTACGAGGGCTCCTAAAAAGGTGCAATGTTATGAAGTAGACATTCTTTCAAGCTTCAATTATAGAACTTATAATCTGCATCTGTGTAAGCTCTAAGGTTCAGATCTTTTTGGGGTTCTTATTATATATTGTAAAATTCAATACACTACATTAAGGTGTAACCGCTTAGGATTGTATGTGAATTGATTTACCACACAACAACATAGACAATGTCATGTCAGGTATATGATAAATAGATAAATCTTCTAACAAGTCTTTTATAGAATATTTTTTCTATTACTTTGATGGCTTAAAAATCATTCGAGGTGCATACCTAGAGGCACATGAAAAACACCTTGAGGCTTGCAATCTCATTGTACCTGGTGAGGCTTATACTTTTTTTATTTTGAGGTGCGTGCCTTAAATAATTTTGTAGAAGATGTGTTAAAACATATGTTTGAATGCATATAACTTCATCGCTATTAGAACCTGTGTTTGAACCATGATTACCGTGGTTCCAACATTGTTCAAATCATGATTGGACCTTATGTGAACTATGATTGAACCTGGATCGAACAAGATTGAAATATGTATTTGAACATTTTCGAACCATATTAGATCATGGTTTAAACATGATTTGAACACATTCTAACAAGTTTTAAACTTTTACATTAGGTTAACGTTTAATATTGATATTTGCTTCTTTTTTTTTTGCTTATTACATGATTTTGTTTGCTTATTACATGATTTTGTGGTTTATGATGATTACCAAAGTAATTGTATCCGTTATTTATGTTTTTTTTTTAATTTGATGAAATTTTTTAATTTTCTAGCTTAAGGCTTACATCTCCCCTCGTTTGGGCAAAAAGCGTTAGATTATGATTTCGCTTTTATAAAACTTGATTGCTATATTGATAGGAAATACTTGATTTCAAGTAGTTCCTAGCCAAATCTGAAGTAAAACAACAAGAAAACTGCTGTTTACAGCCGTGGACAGCAGGTGATCACAGGAAAACAACAAGAAATAGAGAGAAAAGTGAGAGAAAACTAAAGTCAAGACTTGTATTTCACTAGTAGATGAATAAAATAGCAAGATACAATAGATCCTCAATTCGAGAGGAGGATCGATCTCTCCCAAATCTCTAGACGCCGCTAGAGCCCAAAGAAAACTTAAATCTAAGAGACCTCAAATTTCTGCCAAATTCAAGATGCCCAAATCCTAGGAAAACAAAGTATTTAATGCATACAAATCAAAAGGAAATCCCTAAACAATCCCTACATTCAATTTCCCTCCTAGAATCCATTCAAAAACTTCCTAAAATGAGCTCTCAGGAATCGCGTGCGTGCGGCTGACAGAAGAGGCGGAGATGTTCTGCCCGTTCTCCGCCTGGGCCGGTCCCGCGTGGACCGGATGGACCGGTCTAACAATACTCCCCTCCCGAAAATCCACTTTGTCCTCAAGGTGGAGATATGCTTGTGTTCTGGTGGAGGTGGCCATCTATGAGGTGACTGAAAATCCTTACTATATTGCTAAACCAAGGGCTGCACGAAAAGAGAAACATCCCCTCCTTCCAATCTGATCGCATCCAGCCTGTGTAGTCCCACCAGATAATCTTCCCCCACCTCTTGTATGTCCCTAACCATGGTCTTAAGTGATGTGATGACTTTGGATAGCCCTGCATCTCTCCTTATGACCACCATTCTCCTATCCACAATTAATTTCATCGTGAATGCTCCCCAATTGTCCTTGGTTTCCCCCAAGGTTTGTAACTACTTCATCCTCAGGATGACATCAGTGCTTTCTAACTCTAGTGAGAGAAAGTCCTCGCTTACTTGAATCCCCTGGATGGTCAACACCATTCTTTTACAGATTCCCTGGCATTTCTCCACCTTCCATGTACCCATCATCTCCCCATAACAATCGGTGTCCACCAATTTCACTCCCAGTTGGTTGACGACCTGAGTGGAAATGAAATTGTGGGTAGCCCCACTATCAATTAGCACCACCACCTCACGGTCAGCTATCTCTCCTTTCACTTTCATAGTGTGCCTCGGAGTGAATCCCACTACAGAGTTCAGAGAGACTTCTGCCACATCCAGGTGCAACTTCTCCTCTTCTTCAGATCTGCTCCCACCTCCTTCCTCGTCTTCCTTGTCTTCACAGACAAGGAGAACTTGAAGAGTTCGGTCCTTGCACTTATGCCCTGGCATGTACTTCTCATCACATCTGAAGCACAACCCCTTTGTCCTCTTCTCCTACATCTCCTTCTCTGTCAGCCTCTTGAAATTTTCCCCACTCCCCCTCCTACTGGCTTCTTCCGGGTGGTCTCATTAATGTTGTCTGATGCAGGCCCCTTAGGTGCTAGAAGTGGTCGTCGTCCTGTAAGATTCTCCTGAGCAGTTTCCTCGAGCCCCTCTTTCAGGCTTCTTCTGGTCTTCCACCAACTGGGCCAACTCCATGGCCTTGCCTAGATTCCTTGGCTCCAGCACTCTAACTGCTGTTCTTACCTCCGGTTTCAGCCCCTTCATGAAATTCTCTTCTAGGGCTGACTCTGAGATATGATCCAGCCTACTATCCAGATACTCAAACCTGTCCCGGTAATCTGCCACCGTGCCTTCCTGGGTAAGGGCAAAGAATTGCTCATAGAAGTCTCCTCCCTCATATGCTCGGAAACGCTCTAATAAGCATTCTTTGAACTCTCGCTAGCTTCGGATAGGCTCCCGTCTGTCGTGCCACTGATACCAGGCTAAGAATTTTCCCTCCAAGCACATTCCCGTCGCTGTCAATTTCTCCTCCTCCGTCAGCCCATTGACAGCAAAATATCGCTCCACCTTATAAATCCACCCATGGCCATCCTCACCCTCAAAGATGGACATCTTCAGTTTACTCACCTTTGGATCTCCTCCGTTTCCCCGGTATCCTCCATAACCTCCCATTCCTCTAAGGGGAAGAGTTCCCCAAGTGTCTTGATCA